GAGGCTTAAATTTATAGTTCAAACCCAATTAACTTCCTTCTCATCATTGCCTATTGTGGGGAAGTGAGTGACCAAGAGATGAAAGGAATTCAAAGTTACGACCTTCAGAATGGGGAATGAAAAATGCCAGTTGCTTAGGCAAATATATATTAAAATAATTTATATCTGAATCTCATTTTTAATAAAGTGGCTTCCTTCATAAGCCAGGGATTTACTAATATTCTAGCAGATAATTGCACATCTTATTGAACGTATGTCTCTAACATATACAGATTTGTGTGTAAGAAAACCCTATCTTTATTCCCAGACATTTTCTTCTAGGACAGGTGACCATTCTTGCTTAAGTGAAAAGTTCTGCCATTGGATTGTTATCACTGTAGCACATTATCCTTTGTGCACAATGTAGGGATGGTTCTTCCAGGAGATCCTTTGGCAAAAGATAAAAGGCAAACCGCCGAGGCTGGAATAGGGTCCAGTGTATCAAGGAGAAGTGTCATGAGAGAGCCTTGTCTGGGGTGGTCCTGGCAGCTGTTGTGGATAGGCGGGGAGTGGGGAAAGAAGGTGGGGGTGGGGGGGTGGAGAGGTTGGAAGCATGGCAGGAAAGGAAAGGGGCAGGCTGGAGGGAGGGGGTGGAGAGGGGAAAGAGAAGAAAGAGCCAGGAATGATCAAAATATTAAATCAAAATTAAATCAGAAAACCAAAGTCAGGCAAATGGTTACATACGAAATCTGATTTCGCCAGCATACTTACGAAGAATGACGTGGGTGATAACGAATGCAAATATAAAGACTGTCAGAAAAGACAGAGATAAAATAAACATATAAAAAAATCTGTAGTTTCTTTTCCCCACACAGTTGCCTACCCAGGGACAGTGGTGATCAAACCGTTCTGAAATGAGAGGCAGAAAAAATAGGGAAATCAATTAATAAGATGTTTTTTCACTTTAGGGAGCCCATCCCCCCACCCCGACACTCCAATAATATAACAAAATGATATTAGACTACACATTTCCAAATTCATCACTCACAGAAAGGCTTAACATGAAGACATTTCAAGAATGTAATTATTCTTTAAACTGAATTTAAAAAATTGTTTTGAAAAAATAAAGCATATGCATTCTTATCAAATGGCAAAAAAATGTTCTTATCATTACAATTAGACTAGCAAAAATTTCCCTTTTTTGAAAAGGTGACTTCTTTGGTTGACTTCTTTGGTTGACAGACATTCTTCCCTTAAGGTGGTAGCTGCACTTTTTGATGTGGGGTGCTGGGCAGGCCTGTGGGGGGCTCTGCCTCTCATGGGCATGTGGAATTGAGTGACGACCTCTCACGGCAGGTGGCCAAGTCACAAGGGGCCTGGGACAGGAGAGAGGGATAATCCCCTGTTCTCCCTTCCTAGTTTCAACTGTCTTCCTAAGAAATACGTCTGCTATTTCAATAGTTGTAGGAGAGTTGTTGTCATTTTTTAAAGTGAACTATGATCTTCAAGTACAATGTAATACTCCAGGTCTTTCAGTCCACAGTTCTCAGCTTCCTTACCTGCAACACAAGGATACTTTATAGAGTTCTTGTGGTGCTAAATAATGTCTGAGAAAGTATTTTTTTAAAAGTACATGATGTTTTTATAGTTTGTCAACACAGGTCATATTAGTATATTTGGCCTTGAAATTTTTCTATGAGAAAAATGATGATGTTGCCCTATTTTACAGATGAGCAAACTGAGGCTCAGGGAGAAAGGAGACTGCTTGCATGGGGCCATTCAGCTCAAAAGCAGTGGAACTAGAACTTGAGGCCCATCTTCCCAATGCCCCTGCCACCTCTACCACCTTGTGAGTGACAGCACACCGGGATCAGGCGTTCTCCTATCCCCTGTGGTGCCCTGAGCACAAACCCTCATCTTCTTATCTTGGGGATCTGTTTGTGGTTTGATCTTGCCCCTGCAAGTAATGGCAAAAGGCTTCTCTTCTTGTACTATTCACCTGCTCTTCGATTCAGAGTGCCCAACTAACACACCCACTCCCGTCAGAGGCTTAGCTTTTTGCCTGGGGCCTTTTCTCAGCTTAGCCTCTACCCAATTTGAAATACCTATGTGTGCTTTGCAGACCTTCAGAGAAGGCTATATGAGGCGTGACTGTGTTAACACAGCATTATAAAATTATGCAAGGCAGTGTGTCATTTCTTTCTGGCCACCTAATCTAAAGCACTCATCTCATATTTATATCTAGTGCAAGCTTGCTTCTTGGAAAGGGCACAAGGACACCTGGAGATGGTAAAGCCCATCCTTGTCTGCAAGTTAAATGAACAGGTAACAGCCAGTCTGAGCTGAGGACCCAAAGAGAAGTTTCGGAGCTCACTGGCGGGTGACAACCTGATGGCCTATAAGATGACACTGGAAGGAAGGTAACGGTTATCAGTGCTCCACATTATGTCCTAATACGTGCTGACAACCCTGCACAGCTGGACAGGTTCACTCCTGTGGAAAAACAACTTTACTTCCCCCAGACATTGGTGTACACGGGCTGTCCAGCGAGAGGTCTACGCAGACATGCACAAAGCAGAGATCCGAGTGGGCCAGATTTTCCTGACTTTGAGACTGTCATTCTGAGAAGACTCTTTTCTTCTATATAAGCATAGAAAATGGGAATCAGCAGTGGGGACACAGAAGCACGTTAGGCCGGAGCCTCTGATTCTAGCTGTGAAAGCTGATGGCCAAACCCCAGCTATGTGATGGATCAAGTCTCTTCACTGAAGTGAGTTGCCAACCGGCAAAGAAGGCTTTAGGGCTTGGGAGGCCAAGTTAACCTAGTGGAGAGCCCATGCAAGGTGCAAGGTCTCTGTATCCACCACAGAGCATTCCTATGGGGCAAGCGGCAGTTGTATTTTTAACCTAGAAAGTGTAATACTAGCTACACTGTGAGACTGCTTTCCTGAGGGAGGCAGAGCATCCAGAGGTGACTGCAGTAGATGGTGTGCATGCGCCCTTGGTTACGGGGCTCGGAGGCCTCTGGGGAGATCAGCGATGGCTCAGCAATGGGGGTGAAGGCCTGGCTCTCTGGCTGTCCTGTGCAGAAAGCAGTTTCCATTTGGAAATGTCTTATTGAAAACTTTTTCTTGGCTGATAAAAATCCCACTAAAATTGTAGATTCACTGAGAGATTCTTTTATTTAATGTTTTCCATGTCCTCTTTTGTGTTTGTTGAATACAGTCAATGAACCTAAAGGCCTCCATGGGCATCTCTACATCCAGGGCCACCTTTTTAATAGCAGCCTTGCCAGTGCCTTGGTTCACCACCTGCCTCAGCTGGCCTCTCTGCAGTGTGCTGTGCCCAGGCCTCAGCCAGAGCCTCTTCCCTTCTCCACTGACCCTCTCTCACTGGGCACTCTCTTTTCATGCCAAGGTTCAGACGCCAGCTACACACTGGTGACACACTGCCCATTGCCTTCAGTACCTCACAGCTGTCTCCATGTTCACCCCAAGTCATCTTACTTATGTTCTACTTGCTTCTGTTTGCCAACTCTATGCTAAACCTTTAATAAAAATTTGTCAAATGACTGCATAAACCCTCATACTACCAAAAGGACATCCCACGAGCAAGTACGTTGCCCGATATCACACAGTTAATGAGTCGCAGGGCTGGGACGGGGCTGCAGCTTGATCTGCCTCCAGGACTCTTGACCACGAATGCCACACTGATTTTATTATTTTCCACTTACCGAGTATTTTTCCAGTACGGTCTCAAGTGCTAGGACTACTAAGAAGAAAAACAACATACAACCCACTAAAATTGTAGATTCACTGAGAGATTCTTTTATTTAATGTTTTCCATGTCCTCTTTTGTGTTTGTTGAATACAGTCAATGAACCTAAAGGCCTCCATGGGCATCTCTACATCCAGGGCCACCTTTTTAATAGCAGCCTTGCCGGTGCCTTGGTTCACCACCTGCCTCAGCTGGCCTCTCTGCAGTGTGCTGTGCCCAGGCCTCAGCCAGAGCCTCTTCCCTTCTCCACTGACCCTCTCTCACTGGGCACTCTCTTTTCATGCCAAGGTTCAGACGCCAGCTACACACTGGTGACACACTGCCCATTGCCTTCAGTACCTCACAGCTGTCTCCATGTTCACCCCAAGTCATCTTACTTATGTTCTACTTGCTTCTGTTTGCCAACTCTATGCTAAACCTTTAATAAAAATTTGTCAAATGACTGCATAAACCCTCATACTACCAAAAGGACATCCCACGAGCAAGTACGTTGCCCGATGTCACACAGTTAATGAGTCGCAGGGCTGGGACGGGGCTGCAGCTTGATCTGCCTCCAGGACTCTTGACCACGAATGCCACACTGATTTTATTATTTTCCACTTACCGAGTATTTTTCCAGTACGGTCTCAAGTGCTAGGACTACTAAGAAGAAAAACAACATACACTCTATGGCTTTGAGGAGTTCCTTTTCTTACTTGGTGAGGACACTTTTCAGACCTGAAAATATTCCTCAGATGCGCGCAATGGAGCCTTCACAGAGGAAAACCTAATTTAGCGTCTAAATCAGTCCATTCTCTCACTGATGTTGGCAGCATACAACACTGCCCCTTTTTGGGTCAAGGATAAAAATGGGACAAGCCGTCCAGCCCACCAAGGCTCTGAACACTCTGGCTGTGGTCAGAGAGGGGAGGAAGCTGAGGCGCTGCCTGGGTCGTTCTGAAAGGGGTGGTTTCCAGGGAAGAAGGGCAGACGGGCACTGGGCACAAGCTGAGCTGGGACAAGAGTGAGTGGCCACAGCTGACACGTGACGTGGCTCCCAGGGACCTGATGCAGCCGTAATTGGCTGGAAGAGGAACATCTGGGGGAGGAAGGGGTCCCAATAGCTGGCAGGGCAACCACAACATCTAAGAAGTTTCAAAAAACTATTACTAGAGGTTAGTTTCCACGTGGAAAAACTGGATGGGCGTCCCATGTACCGAGGGTGTGTGCGATGGGAGGTTCTTTAAGAAAACCCTTTGGTGTCATTGTCACACCCTTGATTCTGAAGTTTGGGTCCCGCCAGAAGAAGTGGCCTCTACCATGGGAACTTGTCACCTTCAAAACGTCACCTGCCCTCAGATCCTAAGTGGGAAAGAAGGTCCCTGACAATGGACAGCCAGAACACAGTTTGGGAAAAGGAGTTACGGTCCTATTTCGTTAACCCAAAACTCTAAATAATAATGAAGATAATAATATTAATGATGATTAAAATTACAATTCCCCGAGTGCCCTGTACATCATCATTTCGCTCATCACTGCCAGTAGCCTGGTGAGGCAGGCGCTCTGCCCACCTTCACAGCTCAGGGACCGCCTGGGAGGGGAGGCGCCCTGCCCACCAGGCATCCTGCCTCAGCTGAGCAGCTGAACTGTTCCTCTGATTAGAGGAAGATTTAACTTCCGGAAGAGATGCAATATGGAGAAGAGGCCTTAAAAGTGAGGAGAAATGAAGTATTAACATTGCACAGGAGCAGAAAAATCCATGCAATATGCAGGGAAAAGTATTGCAGCAGTTGTATCTGAGGCTGCCAAAGAAATCTCCCAGATTTCATATTGTAATAAAGGCCCTTAAGAGTGGGATCCAGAGATAATTAAAAGTCGTATCTTCAAGCCAGGTACTGATGGCCCTGAAAATTCCGCATTTTCCATACAGTGGTCCTGGGCTCTGGGTGGCTGTGCCTTGGCTGGGTCAGAAGGGATTTAATAAGGCCAGCTTCTATCCCAGAGTGCCTTAAAGATAATGTGAAATAGTAGATGTAAGAATACAATTGAAATTTAAAACTTCTAATTTAAATGTTAATTACACTTAGATCAGATTAAATGTTTTTAAAGGTACGTAAGGGAAATTGCTTTTTCTTTAAACCTAGGACTTTTTT